AGGAGGTCAAGACCATCCTGGCGAACAAGGTGAAACCCCATCTCTGCTAAAAATACAAAAATTAGCTGGGTGTGGTGGTGGGCACCTGTAATCCCAGCTACTCGGGAGGCTGAGGCAGGAGAATCGCTTGAACCCAGGAGGTGGAGATTGCAGTGAGCCATGATCGTACCATTACACTCCAGCCTGGCAACAGAGCAAGACTCTGTCAAAAAAAAAAAAAAAAAAAAAGGAAAAGGAAAAGGAAAAAGAAAATGTATGTTGGGGAGGGTCCTAGAATCTCTCTTCCTCTCTCTCTCCCTCTTCTTTTCCCTCTTAACTGCTCTTAGGAATTTTGGGGAGCACAGTTTGAAAACCACATCTGTGGACCATGGGGAGTGACAAAATATTTTAAAGCAGGAAGTGAATTACATGAGGAGAACTGTGATGAGATAAGATTGTTAAGGCGGATGGATGGAAGAATAAAAAGGCTTGAATAATGGAAAAATGGTTAGGAGGTTATCATAACCTTGGAACCATCTGAAAGAAGCCTGACTTTAAGCAAAGACAATAGGGATAGAGAGAAGTGGATGGGTATGAAAGACATTTCTAAAGGTTGCATTAACAAAACCTGGTGGACTATTTATAGTAAGGGTGGGGAGAGGGGAAGATTGCTGGGTGAAGAAGAAGGGGGGAAAGATGATTATATGGTTTCTTACTTAACATTAGAAGCAACCAACTAGTATATGGGAAATCTCTAGTCTAATTTCTAATAGCCACTTTATTTTCTTTGAGTTTTCATTAGCTCAGATAAAACCAACATGTTATCACTCATGCCTAGAACAATTGTCCTTCATCTTTCTTCATCTAATACTTGACTTTGCTAGTAAAACCCTTTTTGTTGTCATTGTTGTATTGGCTACAACTGTATTTGTCTCTCATTAGCAGGGTAGTGGATAGCAATTTTCTTTTTTTTACTAAGAGAGTCCTCAGCTTACTCACAGGATATGTTCCAAAGGCACATTTTTAAGTTAATTATTTGGACCTCAGAGTGCATTTTCCCATAGAAGTGGCATTATACATAGTGATTAGGTTCCCAGGCCAGTCCACAAAAGCCAGTTTAGCCCATATATAACTGAAAGTGTGGATTTTTGCAATAGAAATTAGTTTGAAATAATACTGTTGCAATTAAAATGAAAACAATAGTTGCAAAAGAAATAGTCTGGGTTTTTGTTTCCCTCAAAGGGTAGGGCTTGATGAAAAGCAGGTTTAATCCTAGGAAGACAAAGAGAAATAGATGGGGATTTTTTTGTAAATTGGACACTGCAGCTTTTTAACTGTATTTCTAAATAATGTTTTGGAGTTTTTAAAATAATAAAAGCAACTGTGTTCATTGTAGAAAATTTAGAAAATTAAAAAATGTATTTCAAAAATTAAGTCACCAACAATCCTACCATCCAGAGAGGACCAGTGTTCACAAATTGGTGTATTTCAGCCTTTTTCTTACTGCATGCATTTTTAAATCAGTTCACCAATAGTAATTATGGTGCATCGACATGATGAACTATTATGCAGCTCTTAAAATGATATTTATGAAGAATTTTTAAAACATCAAAAAATATTTATGATATATTGTTGAGCAAACGGCAGCCTTGCATTTGATACCTTGTTTAGGGAAGAGGGAGTATAAGCAGAAGATCAACACTTAATCAACCGGGGCAGGAGTCTGCTGTTAGACCACCAATCAAAACCTCCTACCCACCCCCTAACAAACCCACCCCCTATCAGACCCACCCCCTAACAAAAACTACAGCCAGACCTTTTTGTCGAAGTTCTGAGGAGGACATAACGGTTCTCTGAAGTACTGTAGAGGTTCGTAGCACTGGCTCTTCATTACTTCAGATTTTCCTTCAAATTACAGGGCTTTCTTCTCCCTTGATGTACTATTTCACTAGCACTACTCAGGCATAACAACTATGATTAAGGTCATTTTTTTGGATTCATAAATGGAATGGAAAAAGGGCCAAGTATTTCCTTAGGTAATTATGCATAGATTGAAGAGAGATGAGAAGGACTCGGGTAGAGAAGATGTGTATGTACTTTTAAGGAAGAAAATTATGTGGAATAGAATGTATTAAGCTAAGAATGGTGAAAGTAAAGTGAGAAAATGAGACAGTATAGCATGAATACAGATCTACAGAGAGTGAAAACGAATCTGGGAAAGGAAGAAAGAGATGTGCTTGCTTAGGTCTGGGCTTGGCTACAGAGCAAGCAAAAAAGCAAGAACAGTGACTTTGGGGAAGTTGTAGCCAGCTGAAATAAAAGAGTTTTAGGAGGAGGCAGGGAATGCAATTTGTAGCAACTGATTTTCTTTTAATAAAGGAATAAATATGTTTGAGAGGACAGGTGCTTCAAGCACTAATCATCCAAGAACAAAAACAGTTTGAACTTAATTGACTATATCTGCTATGATTGTGCACTATTCGATTTTAGCCCAATCAGTGATTTTCTAAAAGCATCCCATCTCCTTTTAGTCAAAACTGGATTTGTCACTGACTTGTATTTTGGCATGGGAGTCCTAATAGCTGCCACCTGCATTTCCTGTTCATCAGTGGAGGTATTGAAAATTACAAAGGGATGAGAGTTGGGGGAAAGGAAGATGTACATTTCGTAGGGGTGAGGGATGTATTCACATATGGGTTTTTTAGTACTAGGACGAAAAGCCAAAAGTTTCCATGCACTGCAGAGAAGCACATGGCATTGTAGTTCTCACACATTGCTATGCAAGACAATCTCCTATGGAATTCTGTGGCTCTTACGTTTGGTGTACATATGATGCGGAGATTCTAAGTTATTATGTGTGAAGTGGGCTCCAGGTTCTCAGCCAGGGATTCTCATTGTTGGCTGTAAGTTGGAATCACCTGGAGAGCTTAAAAATATTGGCGCCTAGGTTCTGTTCCCAGAGGGTTTTACTTAATTTTTCTGGGAGTGAGAACTGAGCGTGGGGATTTTCTAACTCTCCCCAAGTGATTCTAATGTGCAGACAAGTCTGGGACCCTCTAGTTTAGCCCATTGCTTAATTACTTGGGTGGATTAAACCAGTTGTTCTTAAAGTGTTGTCCTGGAACCAGCAGCTTCAACATGAACAGGACACTAATACGAACGCAAATTCTTGGGCCCCTGCCCATATTTACTGAAACTCTTGGGGTGGCTCAGAAACGTGTGTTTTAACAAACCCTCTGGATGATTCTGATGCATGCTGTAAAGTTGGCAGTCACTAGATTAAACGGTTGTTCCTGACCCTTTCTAAAGTACATCTGTAGGAGTTACTAAAAAGAAGAGATGTCTTCAAGAGCTGATGAAAACTGGCCTGCAAAAGGACTTTTATAGAAATACCTATAATAATAATAACAGAAGCTAGAGTAGAGAAAGGAGAAAGGGGATGATAATTTGCTGCAAAACTCAGGCAAGTTCAGGAGGGAACATGTTTTCATAAGAGTTAGGGGGTTTGTTGAATGGGCTGGTAAAACCCTGGCAGTACCTGCAGGCAAACTCCTACTTATTCTTCAATACCCTTTTAAAATGTCAGCCTCTTCCGTGAAGGTTTCTCTGAGCTCTGGTGTGAACTACTTCATCCTTGTATTTACTTAGTGCTTTCTAGTTTCCTCAATTAGCTCTTGGTCCGCTGTACAGTCACGCTCTATATATGTCTCTCTCCCTCACTAAATTGCGTGATTCTTCAAAGCAAGATCACTGTCTTATTCATCCTTAGCTCTCCAGTGTCTAATAAACTATCTGGTACATACTAAATGCTCTTGAATTGTTTGCTGAGAGGAGGCATCAGTAATGACCAGCTTTCTTGTATCAAGAACCTTCAGCTGGGCGCAGTGGCTCGCACCTGTAATCCCAGCACTTTGGGAGACCAAGGTGGGTGGATTATTTAAGTTCAGGAGTTCAAGACCAGCCTTGCCAACATGCTGAAACCCCATCTCTACTAACATGGTGACGCATGCCTGTAATCCCAGCTACTGCAGAGGCTGAGGTGGGAGAATCACTTGAACCCAGGAGGTGGAGGTTGCAGTGAAGCGAGATCATGCCACTGCACTCCAGCCTGGGCAACAGAGCAAGACTCCGTCTCAAAAAAAAAAAAAAAAAAAAAAAAGATGGGTTTACCTTTGTGAATTAATCATAGTCCTGAGTTCAGCTCTCTGATTGGAAGACTAGAGACCTTGATTCTCTCAGGACATTATGACTTGACGTCTCTTAGTGGTGGCCTTATACTACAAAGCTCTCAGAGAAATATACAATTATTAGCAACTTATTATTTTACCATGATAATTGTCAGGTGCCAAGACTACTATTGTCAATTTTTCTCATATTTCCTCTCATTGTAGGTGTACCTTCATGGGAAATCTAATTAAAATCAATAGGGATACAGCTGCCACAGGGTAAAAGTATTTGAGTTCTTGGGCCCCACAGCTTGCCTCTCTCATCCAGGCACTGGCATCTTCTGGTTCCTTGTACTTCCCTAATTCTATAATGTACTCTCTTCATTCTACATCTATTCACAAACATTCTTCAAGCAAGATAAGCACTTAGTAAATCACAATTACCTTTCTATTGCACTTCCCCAAAGTTATACTCAGGTCAAAATGAATGGATGTATGTGTATTCTCCAAGTCTTTAGATAAATAGATTTACAGGCAATCCTTTGGTTTAATTTTCTAGGTACTTAATCACATATTCATTATATGTGGATTTTTTTCTGGCTTAACTCTCGGAGGACAACAATATAACCTTATTTTTAAGTTTTTGGAGGTAGGACACTTTACTGTCACGTCAGTTACTGCCAATATTAATCATTTCTAAATGTTATAGAAGCTTTGAAAGATATGTGTCATTCTCTAAAGTGGAATTATTAAGACCCAGAATGTAAACCAGAAGGAACTGGATTTTTGCCTTCTGTGCCAACCCATGATTTTAATATGTATGTGCCGAATGGATTTTTCTATTTTTTTCTACAGGCATTGTATCTGATAGCCACTAATGGAACCCCAGAGCTCCAGAATCCTGAGAGACTGTCGGCTGTATTCCGTGACTTTTTAAATCGCTGTCTTGAGATGGATGTCGATAGGCGAGGATCTGCCAAGGAGCTTTTGCAGGTGAAAATAAAATAGGACAATTACAAAGAGAGGCATTATACTCAGCTTTTCCATCTCAATGTGTGACAGAGAGCTCTGTCAAGAGATGTCTAGAGTTAGGCTATTACCATTTTATTTTAGACCACAGGCACATAACTATAGGCATGCATCTAATACATGATTGATTGACATGTTGCCTTTCTTCTGAGAAGTTGGCAGTGTAATCCGTAAATCTCTTTTGTTCTTCCTGGAGTCTTATTTTGCAAGGAAAAAAAAGCAATGTGACCCTCTGGTGTTGGTGTTTTGTTCTAAACTTTACTTGTGCCCCTGGATGTTGTATGCAGGTGTTCTTGGCCGGAGGTAATTCTCTACATAACTATGCAATTATTTCCATGGCATTTGCTACTCTAATGCTTTACTGGTCAAAGCCCCTTTGCTTGTGATGCCAATTGGCAGGCACCTGCTTGCCTGGGTGAGTACCATCCAGTGGTGAGTGCCTCTGTAACCATTTGTCCTTTTCATGGCTCTCAGGGATTAATATATATGATGAGAAATAATACTTACTATGTACCAAATTCTTTCAATAAATTATTTCATTTTTATAACAACTCTATAGGGTAGGCATTATTATCCCATTTTATAGATGTAAAAGTTGAGGCTCACAGCTCTTGAATGGCAGAGCTGGGATATGAGCCCTGAATTGTCTGACTTTCTACCATACATCACACACAAACCAATTTAGATAAAAATATGTCTTTATTTGATAAAGCAGTACGTGCCCAGGATGATACACATAGCTTCACTGCTGGGGATTGTTTCTCAGGGACATGTATGAAGACATTTAACATCTAAGAACAATGACTGCTATTTTTCTTTGTGATTTTGAACACATAAGCCAATTAAACAGAAGGTGCAACACTTGGTTATACAGCGCGTTAACCACAGATTGTCTGTTCTAGCCTACCCCCTGAAAGAAAAACCTGTTCCTGTTGTTTCTGAACTCCCTCCAGAGACAATGCCACGCCCAGACAAAAAAATATCCCACCCTAACTCAGATCATACCTGGAATAGACCTTTTTGGAGAAACTGAAGAGACTATATCTTTTCTTTTCTGCTACCTGCAAGCATTTCACAGGTTATCATAAGGCCCTAAAATGTCAAATCTGGAATGGCACTTTGTTAACCCTCTAATTAATCCAGCCTCAAATTACAGATGAAAGTCAACTTTTGAGTATATCACTTTTATATCTTTTTAGCCCTCCCACCACTCCACATACACATTCTGATACACATTCCTCTTATGTTTTCTTGTAAAGATAATTGAAGATGTAAGTTATCTTCAACTGGCTATCCAGATAAATGTGACTGTCCAGCTAAATAGATCATTAAATCAATTATCTAGTTAATTCATTCCCCAACAATTCTTTTATATGAACCAGCCAGATAACTGATGCAAAACTGTATTTTGAGTCTAAATTGAATAGTTTATTGCGTCTTTTCATTTTATACATGTAAGCAACAGCCCGTATTTCTCTTTGAGTCCATGCAACTCCATTCTCTGACTCTAGCCTATTATTGCCATTTCCAAGATTAGAAAGGCGAGAGATGCATGACATTCACCCCACTGGAAGGCTGGAGAAAAGACACAGGTCTTGAATATTTGTGTGTCTTTCTGTATGACCTAAGACAATTCTCTGTCCATCAATTGATATTTATTGAGTAACTTCCATTTGTAAAGCATAAGTGCAGTATACAAACCTATTAAAAGGCATGATTCCTCCATTTAAGACGTTCACAACCGTCTTGGGTACATGAAAATATAATGCAAAGCTGTTTAGAGACTCATTCAACCCAAAGAACTGTTCAAATAGTAAATGACATGGTTGATTAGAGAAATACTTCCGTAAGCTAGGGGTGATCAGAAAATGTCTGCAAACAGGAAAGAGGTCTGCTGGGCCTTGAAGAAGTGATCAGTTTTAGATAAGTTGAAGAAAATAAGGGAAGGGATTTCAAATGGAAGGAAGTATTAGGGTTTAACCAAAGACATACGGGCAAGGTCTATAGGAACAGAACCTAGAAAGTGTGGCTGAAATAAAGAGTTCAAGTACAGAAGCTGCAGGAGATAATCCTGTGGTGGGCCTTGAACACCAGGCTTAAGAGTTGGGGCTGTAGGCAGTGGGGAAACACTGAAGATGTCTGAGGGACAGCATGATGACAACTTTGTTTAGGATGATTAATCTGGTAGTATGTGGTAAGAATTAGCAACAAGAAAAAAATGGAGACAGGGAGACCAAGGAGGAGTTATGGTTTGGGATTAAGATGATTAGGACTGAATTAGAAAAAGCAAGAGATGGCCAGACGTGATTGCTCATGCCTATAATCCTAACACTTTGGAAGGCCGAGGCAGGTGGATCACCTGAGGTCAGGAGTTCGAGACCAGCCTGATCAACATGGTGAAACACTGTTTCTACTAAAAATACAAAAATTAGCCAGATGTGGTGGCATGCGTCTGTGATCCTAGCTACTCAGGAGGCTGAGGCAGGAGAATCACTTGAACCTGGGAGGCGGAGGTTGCAGTGAGCTGAGACATGCCACTGCACTCCAGCCTGGGCAACAGAGCGAGACTCCATCTCAAAAACAATAATAATAATAAGCAAGAGATAAATGTAAGAGACGTTGAGAAGAGAGTACCCGGTAGCTTATTGCATTTAGAACATAAGAGGAAAACAAAAGTGACTTCAGGCTATCAAGTCAATGGCAGCATTCAGCAAGAAGGCAAGTGATGGAAGACAGTATAATAGCTAACATTTCTTGACCCTATGTAACTTACAAGGGACTGCCACTTACCTCATTTAACCATTTTAATAAACAGAGATGAGGATTTAACCTAAGTGCTCTAACTCCAAAGCCCTTGTAGCTTACATTACACAAGATTGCCCTGCTTGTGAGACTGTAACATAACTTTTTAAATGTTGAATTTAAGGTGACGGAAGAACATCCCATAGGAAATATCCAGCAGGAAAACTAGGACCAGAGTTCAGGAAAGAGATCAGGTCACACACTATGGATTTAGGAGTCATCTCCATAAAGCTGATGGTGGGTTGAAACCATGAAAGAGAATGAGATCTGTAAGAAATTAAATTAAAAAAAAGAAGACGATGGCAGCCAAGTTCTCATGAGTAGGAGGTAGGAGGAGGAAGTGAAACCAGGGAAGAAAATGGAGCTGGAATATTCAGTGCACATGCGCATGGAAGAGACCAAATATGGTAGAATGTCACATGCTTCTAAGGCAAAAAATTAAAAAATAAAATTCAAAGAAGAAAGGGCTATTCACTTTTATTAAGTACTGCAGAGGGGCCAAAAGAGAAATGGTAGAGGCACGGCTGTTGAGTTTAGCAGTTAGTAAGCCACTGGTTTCTGTATAAAGTTCTTTAGTAGTTAACTAAATACACTTTTTCCAAGCATGACAGCTTCTCTAGATAAATTTTTCAGTTTAGGAAAATCAGAGAGTCAGACTGTTGCAAACACAGTGAGATTTTATAAGATCCCTCAGAGTTTCTCACTCTGCCAGTCAGCTTCCAGAGGATTTCATGACATTGAAGTACAAAAACATCTGAAGGACAAAAGCTGGCACCGTTTTTAATTAAATGATATTTAATTGGGTATTCAAAATATATCTTAATTAAAAAGGGCTGCTTGAAAATGTAAAGTAGTGTACTTGTTGGAGGAAAGAATTCCAATAATTCCTCTTTTTCCTTCCTTTTACAGCATCCATTTTTAAAATTAGCCAAGCCTCTCTCCAGCCTGACTCCTCTGATTATCGCTGCAAAGGAAGCGATTAAAAACAGCAGCCGCTAAGACTGCAAGCCTTACACCTCACCATCTCCCTCATGAGTAAGACTGAAATAAAACTCTGCTGCAGGAAAGATGGAAGAAAAGACAGTCAAATGGGGTGGGGGTTCTTTACCTTTCAAATGAATAGAAACTTCTTATAAGCCTTTTTCCTACTCCCTCAGATTATGTAATTTATTTGTAAGCCTGAATCGCAGCCCAAACAGGGCAGCAATGTTGAAGTGACCATAAAGTGGTCACTTCCACCGTGAAGCGAAAGAGCCAGTAGTGAATCCCCTCATTTTGTGCACTCACTTTGAAGAAAAAGGTTTCTCAAAGATGCACACTCCCTCTTCATAGTGTTGTGTTTGTTTTTAAGTTAGAGAGTAGTCCCTCTTGCATTCAAACCTCCTTCAAAACTCCTTACCCAATGTGATGTTTTTCACTTGCATTGTCATTAGATGTCCAGAAAAAAAAAAAAAAGATGTCAAAATGTTTTTCTAAAAAAAAGAAAGCAAAAAAAGCAAGGCAAAAAAAACAAAAACAAAAACAAAACAAAAATAAACAAACAAAAAAATACCAGAGCAAGTACTGTGTGAACATGTGGAAGTCCATGCCCTAATAGAGTTGCAATTTTTTATTCTTCTTCTGTAGTGGTGGCTTGGTTTGTGTACCTATTTTTCTGCATTTGTATTGGAAAAGGTTTCTTTTAAGACATTTTCCAAAAGTGGAGAGGAATATGTGTGTTCAGGAAGGGCTTTTTAAAAAGTGTATATCTAAATAAAGCTCAAACGGTGAAATCCTGTCACATTTTCACAATGATGCTTAAAAGATAGTTGAGTAAACCAGGTTGTTAATCTCCTTAATACCTGAAAGAGGATACACTGAAACTGTGACACCCTGCTAGGTGAGTTCTGGTTCTGAACCTAGGAAATCCTCATAGGAGAAACCACATTTAAACAAAGATGGGACTTTCTCTGAGAGCCAAAACCAGATAAATGTAGAATACTGACATCCTTGTCTGATATTAAGTAAACAAAGATAATGATACCTAAATTAATCCTCTCTTGTGCTTATGAAACATATGCACTGTAAAATAGGCATACCAGGAGGAAATAGATTCATTAACCATCATTTACTTATGATACAAATTATTTATTTTGACAATTTATAATGTTTAAAAAAGTTTTTTAAAGATCTGGAGAAAGGTGATATAATAAACAGTCAACTCTGCAGGAAGTGGGAGGTCAGTGAAGGCTACATCCCAATCAATATTTGGCTCTAAGTACTTGTTCCCATTTTCCCTATGTATCACCTATTTCTGTTTCGGAATATGGTGTGTTCATACTTAGTCCTTTGGGCTTTTGAATATCAAAAGCATATTCATAAAAGTCTTGAAATTCTCTCCAGTAGAAAATAATTTTAACTTACAATAATATCCCAAGAAATGTTAGTCCAACAGAATTCCTTATATGGCTTGGGGAAAATAACAAAATTTGACTATTATTTCACTATATATCTATTTATTAAAAATTCAACAGTTGGCACTTTCTGAATCTTCTGAGAGTATAAAAGTATCTGGAGGGTGTCTGTATAGAAAAGGATATGCCTCTCTTTTGAGCGTACTGACAATTTTGTAAATTACAGAAAGTTGTTTCTCTAAGCCTTTGAAAAACTAACAATTTGTGTTATAGAAGGCTTCTTAATTTGTAGTATACAAAGAATCTAAACAGAACCTATGTACATTCAGCAAGAAGGGGAAAGAGATCAGTTACATAGACCTCTCTCCTTCTTTGCCAAGGTACATCCATCCATCTAACCATCCATGTATCCACATCTTAAAATGAAAGCACTTTCTTTCGAGTTTCAGCAAACTATATAGTGTACGTGTTTATGTTTAGGAGATGACCCCACTGGTGTATTTCCTGTTTTCCCTATTGTTTTCTTTGACTGTAAAATTTGGGAGAGACTTGACCTCCTCCCCTTGAAAAAGACCACAGTGGGATAAAACAATAATTGTGAAAAGAAAATGAAGTGGTAATATTAATTTGAAGCATACTATGTTATACTTTGCAAAAAGGAATCTGGGCTTGTAATTTTAATGCCACACTGCTCTAATGAGAGAGAGAGGCCTTAATTTTGATTTCATTTAAAAATAAGGACTTAAAAAAATTTTCACTCATAGTGCTGGGAAATTCAATGAAATCCTGGGATGCAAATAAAAATCAGTACATTGGTACATTGGTGACTGTGTCCTGCCAGTGGAGAGAGCCCAAAACCTGGTTAGGAAGCGCTATTCATCAGTTAGCATCCCTTACATGTTGAGAAGGCCTTTTTTGTTGTTATTTTGGAGACCTTGGAGCAGTGACCCTTCAGATCACTGTAGGCAGAGAAATGGCTTCTCTCTTACGCTTTCAGTTCAGCATATTAACAACGAGGAGCCAGGTACTTCTTTCCTACCACTTTGTACCAAGATTTGATAATAATATATCCCAGGAGGGATTACTTTTATAAATGTGTATTTATGTAAATTTTCAAATGAGAACAGCTTCTAAAGCCCCTTCCCTGTATTGGAGAGCTATGTATATTTCTAATAAGTATTAGAAAGAAGCTGTTTCTCGTGCCACAATGATGCTGAAGGATTCACATTTGGTACAATCGAGCAACTTGAACTCCAGATTGTTAACAGTTTATTCTCTTTCCCTGGATTGTTTTTAGCTCATCTTGACACAGGTGAGTCTATCCAAATCTTTAATGTTGGTAGTGTGCCCTGAGATAACGAGGGCACATCCTTCAATGTTGATTCCAAAATATCCTGAGATAGGAATAGGGCAGTGGGAAAGTCAGGGAAGGGTGAGAAGCACAGTAGAGATTATTTATTTAAAAAAGAAAAGAACGTTAATATTGTTAGCAAGGATCCAGTGCGTTGTCATAATCCCATGAGGATTTTCAGATGACACAATCCCTCAGATCAGTCACCATGTTGGGTAATGACTTCGTTCTTGCTGATCTCGTGTGTGTGTCATTGTAAATATTTGTGCGTCCATGTTCCATTTTGGCTACTGGATGGCCAACCCATGTAAGAAGATTTAACTCAAGTATTTATTCTTTATGTTATTCAGATTTCTTTCAGGCTTGTGAAGTGCACCCCAATGTTTGAGTTTAACCACCTGATCCTTACATCTATCCCTCCCCGGTGAAGCACATTCCATTGCTAAAAGAAAAAGAAATATGAAATTGCTTCCTGTTGTCTGTGTAACTGTTTTGATAGTTTGAGATGTTTGTCTATAAATGATATTTCTCAGCTCAAAGATCGTGTAAATAATTATATTCCTTTGCTCAATGGGTTGTTTATTTCTAATGAGGCTGCCAGTTCTGAGAGATTCTATAATATCACTTTTAAATAACATAAACAGGGATTACAACTACATAAAAAGAAATGCATATGGGCAAAGACTGGGAACACAGATAATTGAAATCAGTTATATTAGGGTGGTGGAATTATGTGAATTTTTTTCTTTCTAAAATTTTATTTGATATTGTTATAATATTGCTTTATAATAAATAAACAGCAGAAGGGAAACTATAGACACATAGAAAAGATGCCAGAAGCAAATGCCTTCTGGCCAGAGCCCAGAGCATGCAGGGCACAGATATTTGCTAGTTACAATTATTCCATAGGCTTTATACTTGCCGGGGTGCTGAGGTTGGCACACGCTTGGATATGGCACGTGCTTTCTTAGGAGACTATTATCTATAAGTTAAAGCTAGGGAGATGTCACTATTAGAACTCCAAACACACTCTTCTGCTTTAAAACAGGCTGTCTGCCCTGTGCTTTGGTATGGCATTCGGGTGTCTGTTTTGTGGTTGCTTTAGATTGGAGGGGTGACCATTATATTAGCCCCCTTGATAACATCTGTTGCAGATATTACCTTTCTGGAACATTTTGACAGACTCTCAGGTTGAATTTTGGAGGAATAGAAGGATAAAATCCCCAGCTCCCACCATGTTCTTGTCCAACAGGATATTACTGTATATCATTCAGGTAGGGTTCTTCTTTTAATAACCAATAGGGCAAGTCCCACTAATTTCACTAGAAGTTATGACTTGTAATTAAAAACTGACTTTGAAATCATTAAACAAATATTTAGGACTGTCTGCCTCTTGGCGTTCAGTTACAGTTCTATTAATTTTGACTTGGGATGGTCTCCATGTGCTTTTTTCTGCCTATTTATAGGTTGTATACAGTAGTTGTGATTTTTAAAGAGTAAGGGAGACCATCTAACCAAAGGAGAAGAATTTCCTTCTAACTCATCAAAGAAATTTTAGGTGAGAACTTTGATAATGAGGTAGTCACCTCAGATATGTTGCTTAGTTTCACCGAAAGCAGACCCTATACCTAGAGAACTCACTGGCTTTTTACTGGTCGTTCTCAATACAAAAATACTTAGGGGAGTCTTAACCCTGCCATCCCCAGTTGAATCTCTTGGTCTTTATCTAAGCTATTTGCAGTTAATATTCAGTTAAACAAAGGTATGGCCAGTAGTGCAAGTATCTCCCAGTCTCTGAGCTCTGAACAAGAGGACTGAAATTCAGCATTTGTAAACTGACAGTTTGATGGGCCTGGGATTTGAAGTGAACTCAGCATACAATTCTGAACATATATTTGCATGTGGACTGGGAAGGAAATAAATGGGAACTTGGAAATAATGGAAATATTTCTCCTATGAAAGAATTTTTCATAAAAGATTTGTTTTTGATATAGTCTTTCTGTTGGTTAGCTTTTAGTTTTTTCATTCCTTTTCTGATCCACACTCCTTTAAGTGACCAAATGAATATAACCCAACATGCATTGGGAATGTGTTTAATATTAAACACTGTCTAACTGAATCTGCAAATGCAGGAACTGAGATATCACCTCCATGTGTACACCTGTGTGTACAAGTATTCTATACAACTTGTAGCATTTACTGCCACTTAATTGGGTTGAACTTGCAAGATAAACTTTTAGAAACTGCTTAGTGCCGTCGGAGTCTCCTTTAGAAGCTGCCATCAGGCAAATGCTATCCCATAATACCAGCAGTAAGGCAGGCACAATGTTCAACAGATTTAGTACCCAAGAGTCATATGTAGTGGAATAAATACTAGCCTAGGAAGAAGGAGCCCTGGAGTCTAATATGAGCTTTATTACTAAATTGCCATGTGACCTTTGACAAGTCACTTAACCTCTCCATGGCTGTTTCCTTATCTGTAAAATAAGTGTATTGGACTAGATAATCCTTAGGGTCTTTCCAAAAGTCTAACATTCTATGGCATTGTAGGTTGCCTTGAAAATTCAGCCTGCTATAGTGATGGCAAATATCACATGTTTAAGCCTGAGTCTCTTATGTTGCAGTTAGATAAAAGAAGTATGTAAGATGATTTTTAAAATCCAAGCAAATGGGCTGGGTGCGATGGCTCACACCTGTAATCCCAGCACTTTGGAAGGCCAAGGCAGGTGGATAACCTGAGGCCAGGAGTTTGAGACCAGCCTGACCAACATAGAGAC